TCCGGGGAGTTGACAAAGCGATATACCCAAACCAAAGAGGAGGAGGAAATCTGTGGTTCTGCCAGGCCCGTTGAGTTCAGGACCCTGTCCCTGGAGGACCCCGCGGCCATGGATCGAGGAGCTGAGGAAGAGGCTGCCGCTGACCCTCCAGGAAGTGAGCCCAGGCCACCTAATGCGGATGTGGAGAAGCAGGACTGACCGTTTATCGTAGGGGGAACCCTTGTCATGCAAGTATATTTACATTTTTTGTCTATCAATCGATGACCCAGAGCAGGAAACACATGTGCTGTTGACCAAGTCCATGGAAGCTCTGTTGGCAAAGTCGGCCAAGTTGCGAGACATCGAGTCAAAAGTTGAGAACCCCAGGCCACTTTAGTATTGGTAGGATTGGCGTTCAATGATCACACAATCAAATTTGAATCAACAGTATTTGTTTTCATGAGTGACCTTTGCATCATCTCATTTAAAGCCATACCCTAAGTGTGAAGTCGATCCTCAAGACTGCCTATGAAGCCATGGACACTCACTATGATGCATTGGCTACAAGCCTGGCTCGCTACCGTGCAGTGAAGACAAAACCGTCTGATACGTTTCTTTGGCACAATCATGTTGAATCTATTGTTATAAAATGGTATATAGCAAAAACATTACTGACATTCCATCAGCCCCGGCACTTTGAGGTTGGCTCAGAACATTGACAAGCAATTGGAATACGCAGAAGTCTTGTGCCTTGATTTAAAACCACTCTGAACAACTGGATTTCTATGGGTGGTGGAACCATGGGGTTTATGTTTTTTGCCGTCCCAGGGGAAGCAAGGCTACACGTGCAGAAGTCCAAGCCCAGCATTCGCCCCAGAAAATTCTGGTGAGAACAGTGTGAACATACATGTGCATATGTATATTCATTCATATTATATCATATATATTTGAAGTAGAATCGATCTTATAAAGTCTGATACACATATCACGGTATATCACCACATGGTCATACCTAAGGCCGGCTTTGAAATCTGCCCGGACCAAGCGCAAGTCTGAGAACGACGATACCAATTCTGAGTTGCCAGCACCAAAGGTGCCAAAGTCGAAGGCAAAGAGCAAGGCGAAAGCCAAGTCTGCCAAGTAAAGGCAAACTTCATGAAATGGGGTTTTGCAATTCTGAAATGATTTGCTTTGGATCGATCTCACAGCCCTTTCAAGCGTGTGGTTGCATTGGAGTCAACCCTGAACATGCTCACCTGGGCCTAGCGTGAATTCCATGAAAAAAAATCGTCCACGGGTAGTGCAACAAATCTTATCCATGCAGTGCAGCATGCCCAGAAAGACCCATCCCTGGCCTTCCCACTGTTTCTGTAGATCCCATTGCCATCGCATCAGCACCTTGGCCATGCCAGGTGTTGTTGGACCAATGGGAAAGCATGCAGCATCGTGCATTGCAAATGGTGCCGGGGACCCAAGAGGGAAAGGGTGAAAAAAAAACAAACTATATCAAACTATGAATTATATTTGGATACTTTGGACAAGCCACCATTCTGGAGATTTGGCCCAAAAGACAAACAAAAAATCAGAATAGTTTAGTCGTCAGCTCCCCATGGATACTCGAGCCCGTGTAGTTGAGAAAAGGGAAAGAATTCTGGCCTCATTGAAGGCTTCATTTGAAGCTTTGGGTGTTCACGACCCAGACTTGCCCTGGGGGTTTGTGGCAGGACCCAAACGGCCTTTTGAAAAGCATGCCTTTGAAGCAAGGCAAAGACTCCGTGATTTGGAGCAACTACAGGTTCTGGATACGGTCATTAGCAATTGGAAATTCATCAACTTGGAAGTGAACCGTGATGAAACCGATCAAAATGTGAGCTGTGGCAGCTGAGTGGGCTTTTTTCAATTGCCAATTCGTTATGGCTAGGCCATGCAGTATGGCTTGCGCTGTTGTGCAAATTTGCTTAAATGTGCACGCTGTTGTTCCCACGTGGTGCTCCCATTGCCCTACGTGATGCTGAAAATTACATGACATACGCTAGCGATCCCTGGCAAAGAAAAAGGTCAAAAGCTCCTGCTTCAAAGTTTTTTTTCTCACATGATCTCCTTCACCAGATCTCTTTCACATGAATCCTTTCACATGATCTCTTTCGCATGATCTTTTTCACATGACCTCTTTCGCATGATCTCTTTCACATGACCTTTTCAGATCTCTAGCTTATTGTACCCCCAACGATTGGATTTTGATCGCCCAGGCCACCGCCAAGTCTGTAGCTGAGATGAGCAAGGCCGCAGTCGATCATTATGGATCTACAAGTTGCCCAATCACTTCCCGTCTTGCAAGTGTGCCAACTAAGAGAGCAGAAGACGAATGCCATAAACTGTGACGTAGCTGAAGCTGACTCCATATGATCCCATATAAAAATTACGGCAATTATTCTTTTTAGGGATGCTTTGGGTTGCATTTCAACTTGCACTTTTTAACTTTGAACCCTGCCCCAACCAAGGTTTGAGAAGCACAACCTGGCGTTGAAGATTCCGGTTTCCTGGGTTGACTTGGATGGTGGTGATAGCTACCCTGTGCTCAGTATGCTTGACACCATTGACTACTTGGTTCAATCCAACAACTTGTCCAAGTTGTTTGGGGAACAACCCATGGAACAAGTGCAACCAATGTTGTTAGAGTTTTGGCGACGTTACAGCCTTGAATGGCCAGATTATGGAGTCTTTCGAGCTGCTGCTGAAAACAAGCTGTCGCTATCACGAACAATTCCAGTTTACATTCATGGTGATGAAGGTCGTGGATTCAAACGATCGGGTGTCATGATATTGAGCCTACAAGGGGCCATTGGTCGTGGCAGCAAACCTTTCCTCAAAAGACATCCAATTAGATCTCTTCGTCAACTCAAGATGGGTATCAACCTTCAAGGGAGCTCTTTCAACAGTCGAATGCTGTTTGTTGCAATGCCAAAGAAACATTACAAGGCGAAACCAGATTCTGGGACTATGATATTATTCATTTTCTATCCTCTTAGATTGCCTTTGGTTGTCCTTTCCTGTGACATTAATTTTAATCCCACTCAGCCCCCTATCCTTACTCAGGAGAATTTCCAGGCTGTACTCAACAAGATGATCAATGACCTCCTCAAACTTCAAGACATTGGGTTTACCTACGCAGGGGAAAGATGGAACATCGCTTGCTTAGGTGTGAAAGGGGATCTTCCGTTTTTGAGGACCGTTGGAGACCTGACGAGGCATTGGCAAAGGGCGCACAGGTCAGAGGAAAACAAATCTCCTCCTGGGGTTTGTTGGATGTGTTTGGCTGGCACAAAGCCAGGGGGGCCTTTTGAAGATTTCAACATAGATGCTCAATGGTCTGTGGTTGCTACAGTTGATCCTTGGGTTACACGACCTTCAGTGCTGCAATTGTTTCATTGTATCGATCGTCCCCATGACTATCTCAAGACTGATGTTTGGCACAACTACCATGGAGGAGCAGGTAAAACTTTCATAGCTTCAGTGCTGGCTGAATGTTTGCTTCTTTTGCCGGGGTCAAGGGAAGACAAAATTTCCCAGTTGGATGTTCTCCTACGTCAGTGGGCCAAACGGCCGGGTTGCAACCTTCCTCATTCAGGTCCATTTGTTGCGGAGAGAATTGGCCTTACAAGCTTCCAGGTCTTACCTGAAGGAGGTTGGTCAAAGTTTGCTGACACGCATATCTACCACAGGTTTGTGGAATGGTTCTTGACAGGGAGGATTAATCAATTCAATGAGGACGAGTATTTTTTGATGATTCTTGAAGCTGTCAAAGCGGCCAACGACACTTTTTCAATTCGTTACTCGTCTGGGTTGTGGCTGACGTCCAATGAAGCGCTTGCAGCTGGAAACAACGGAAGAAAGTGGTTACGTATCTATGCAAATCTTGCCTATAGGTGCTTCACTGAGCGAAAATCACGCTTCCCGATCTATGTTAAGTTTCACATGTTGGACCATCACTGGCGTCGTTTGGTATCTGGAGCCCAAAACAAATGGACACTGAACATCCTAGCGGAGTCAGTGCAGGCTGATGAGGAGTCTAGTTTGAATTTATTTGAATTTTGATATGTTGGTCGTTATGTGGTCCTATCCTAGTATGTGTCATCACTGTTGTATTTTCCGTTCCCTGGGGATGTCTCATTTCAGGACTTTGTGGGGAGATGCTGTCGCGTCAGCCGACGCATTTCCCCCAGGGCAATTGGATTGAGAGTACTTCAAAGGTATCTTGTGATGGCAAACAAAGCGTGGGTCAACAGCCCGAACCCTGACACTCAGCAGCCGACGAAGAGAAGCTTCGCCGAGATGACGGGCCCGCTTGAAGCTGATGGTCCAAAGCACAGAAAAAGGGGGAGTGAAGCAATTGTGTGTGATTATGGCTGAACCCCCAAATTGGGAAACACCCGTAAGCCGTAATGACCAAAAAAAATGGTTGAGGCCGTATGATCAAAAAAAAACATTCATTTGGGTTCCTAGGTATATATATTATATATATATATATAAATACAGAGATTTTTGATCACACATTGTGGTGTTACGATCAAACAAATTCCATGAATGATCATGAATGTGAATGTTCGACCATTTTTTGGGCCCGTCCAGGAATGCGGTAAGGCAATGCTCTTTTTGGGACAATGAGGAAATCAACCATGGGATTTGGGGGTACCTAGGTTCAGACCAACAGTATAGATGGTAGGATGATACCAGGGTAGATTTTTTTGTCGCCTAAAATGTCTATCTCTCCAAAGCAGCGGAAGCCATAGCTTCACGTCTGGAGGCCATCCAAAGCGGTGTACTGCTCGTGAAGATCAGAACAAGGATCGATTGAGGTCGACAGGAACCTTCTCGCCTTCTTGGAGCACTTCTGAGTCACCAGCTTTTGCACTTTGAGCAGCCATTTGTAGTTGATTTACCCAGCTAGAAAATGCTGAATTTCCATGGTTTTTTGGAAACGTTTACCAGAGGGTACCCAGATCGTTCAGCAGCCAAGTCACTCAAATAGATGTCATAGCTCACCACCCGGTCCAGATCTCCGTTGGGGGCCGTCCATTGCAACAGGCCGCCGATCTCCTGAGAGCGAAAACACCAGTGACACAACGGAACTAGATAAGACATGAAAAAAAACATCACAAGATTTTTATAAGTATCTTATAAATATATTTCCCCACCTGACAGGTGAGGGTTGTTAGATTTTATGTCAGTTGCCTGCTCCTCTCCTCCTCTCCTCTCCTCCTCCTGCTCAACCGCGACCCTCGACGCACAGTGTTCTCTGTCGGACCTCAACCACGACCATCCACGCCCAGTGTTCCCTGCCGGACCTCAACCACGACCATCCCCGCCCAGTGTTCCCTGCCAGACCTCAACCACGACCATCCACGCCCAGTGTTCCCTGCCGGACCTCAACCGCGAGTATCCACGCCAAGTGTTCCCTGCCGGACCTCATGTAGGAAGATATGCCAGATAGCATGTCAGATCGAATGCCAGAAGATATGTCAGATAGAATGCCAGAAGATATGCCAGATAGAATGCCAGAAGATAGGCCAGATAGAATGCCAGATTTGCCAGAAGATATGCCAGATAGGATGTCAGAAGATATGCCAGATAGAATGTCAGATAGAATGCCAGAAGATATGCCAGATAAAATGCCAGAAGATATGCCAGATAGAATGCCAGATCAAGTGCCAGAAGGTATGCCAGATAAAGGGCCAGAATGTTTGCCAGATAGAATGCCAGATAGGATGTCAGAAGATATGCCAGAAGATATGCCAGATAGAATACCGAATAGAATGCCAGAAGATATGCCAGATAGAATGCCAGAAGATATGCCAGATAGAATGTCAGAAGATTTGCCAGTAACAAAACGTATAAATGACATGGTGGGGATCACACGAAGTAAAGTAATTTTTAGATATTTATAGCTGGTACTAGATATCTAGTGGGTTTGGGTACCCAGCTATAGATATCTATAGATTGTGAATGATTAGATTTCTAGATTCGACTTTTCCATCAACTCCGCTCTGATAAGGACAGATGCTACACTCCATCATGGCCTGTTCGCCGCAATCTAGGCCCTGTCATGGTTCATATACCCCAGATCCTTCCATATCCCAGATCTCTGCCAGATCCTCTAGATCTGATGTTCAATGATGGTTAGTATATCCGATATATCTGATATATCCCAGATCCAACGGGTTAGTATACCCAGCCATAGATTATCATGAATATAATTATAGATATAGTACATGTTGGTACTATAGATTCATGGGATGGTACATATTCCATATTCCATAATCATGATGAATAGATTAGATGTTACCCAGCATATCATCATGAATGATGTTACCCATCATATTCCATATAATTTCCATATATTCCATTATAATCACATTCATATTCCATCATCTCCCCTATGTTTCTCCTGCGCTTCCAAGTCTTTGTCCACGAAGCTGATCTGCGACACACTGGCGATGCCGTCCACGATGCCATGCAGCGCCGGAGTGCTCTGCTCTACGAAGCTGGAACGAGCCTCGATGTTGGATGATTTTAGAGTGAAACGATTGGATTTTCTGCGTATTTCAAACAAACTGGGTTGAAACCATCACATATGCTGGGTGTTCCTACGGAAATATGTGGGTTTACCATCAACAATACTGTATGGGAAACAATGGGCTGAAATTAAAAATTATGGGTTTGCCAGTTTTACGTCAAAATTTGCATTTAACATGTCTTGAATGGGCTGCATAGCCAACAAATATTGGTTTGCCCAAGAATCGGCATTCCCAAAATGGGATTAAAGCCGCCAGGGATTCAAGCCAAACATGAATGATATATGATATATGTAATCAACAGCAACATGGCTTTCCAGCAATGCAAAGAGTGTTCCTCAAACATCCGTGCAATTTCAAACAATCATCTGTGATTTGTCACTACCTTGCAGCAACAAAACACCTGACGAGCGGCAGATTCGTCCATTTCAAAATCAAAACTATGATGGATGTCACATAGCCAGCTTAGATTAGCGAATAAGACTCTCCAAACAATTACCCTCTGGTTATTTAACATGGCCATGGAAAATGGTCCATTTATAGATGGTTTACCTATTTAAAAATGGTGATGTTCCATCGCTATGTTAAATAACCAGAGGGTAAGGGATGTAGAGTTTACACCAGATTATGTATCAACATCGTCCTGCATTGGATAAGTAAAACCAGGTGGCTGGCGACTGTTATGGGTTTCTGGGAAAATGGGACACAGCCCACATGATGGCAATTTCACAAGGAACAACTACGATTCGAACCACTTGAACCAATTGATTTACGGAAATTTCCCAGAATTTTCAGACCAATCCACATCTTCAATAACTTCAATGCATGTTTGCCGCCTACCTGACTTGTCTGAGCATATGTACCCTTCACCAAATGCTGGCTGCCAGGCTGCATAAACCAAGAAGTGTGTCCAGTTCAGCAAGGGCGTCTCAGGTGCCACCTCCACCACTGTGTCGGAGGTGTTCTCCACGGACAAACTCCAGCAGCCCTAGCGCAAGGATGGATCATCATTCCCATGGTGAGGTAGAATTCAGGCAAAAATGAAATGATGATGTCACATAGCTTGACGCTGAAATCAAGTGACAAGGACAGTCCTTCCAGTTCCAGAATCACACGCTTGTTCTCCCTTGCTCTTTCACACCCTGCATTGGGTGAATTCACCCTTCTTATTGAGTGACTCCTAAAATTCCAGCATCAACCCCTGCAAGGACATTCTGACAAAAAAACACATATTCTTTAAAAAAAAATGTGCTAGGGTCAAAACAAGGTAATTACGAATATATGGTTTCTGGCCATCCATCCCACACTATAATGGGTATATTAGTCGATTCATGACCTTCCCTTTTAAGACTTGTTATTGGGAAATAAAACGTGTTTTGACAACGGAGCATGCTATCGCATATCTAAAACCCATTTATGTCGTTATGTTTTTGTTGGTTTCTTCTCGTGCAGGGTATCTTGCTTCACTGGGCCTGACATGGCACTTGGGCGAACCACACGCTGTAGCCAGTCCTGAACAAATTGGGCCCTGGGAGGCAGCTGAAAAATCCGTTGCAAAGATTTTCCTAAGGGATAGAAGACCTTATTGTTCCCTAGATTTGCTATTCTGATCACTTATTATTTCCAGAGGCATGCTAAAGATTGCTAAAGTATCATTCTATTCTAACACTTAGAAGAAGCTCAAGAGATCAGAATCGTTTATCATTCCCAGAGGTATGTCAAGGACCCACATCAGCCCGGCATGACGCCCGCTGCACCCCCTGTCGATTTCGCCGGGTGGCACCAGGTTCGCGATGGCAGAAGGTGCTTCCCAGGTGAGGTTTCCACCCAGATCCGCTTCATCCAAGTCCTGGTGGTCACCAGGATTTAGATTGGCATTTGGGTGGTATATCACGGTATATCATACTTGGGGTGAAGGATTAGTACTGTCTTGGTCATGGCTGGCTAATAGGTCTTCAAATTTTGCGGGCTGGAACTGTACGAGTACAACCAAATGACCACAGTATGGAGTGAAGCCTTTTAAAACCATCAGCCAATGCTGAGATCTCCGTTACATTCAAATTGTATCCCGATTGCAATATTCCAATAAACTATAATTATCCCCATTACATCGCACCGTTTTTTGGTGATGATACCCTCTGGGAATTTGACACAGCCATGGAAAATCACAATTGGCCCTCTATTCCAGAGATACGTTAAAGTACTGGCGGTTGACACTGATAATCCATTCTATACCAATTACCGAGCATATCCCCATTTCACCCAGGTATATCCCCACTATAGCTATAAATAGTCTTTAACAGTTGCTTAAATCCTCTTAGATCCCACATTTTTGGTGATAACTATGATTCAACCAGTGATACCCTCTGCTAGGAAAAAACTTGGCTTGCTGGAGACTCCACCAGTTATGATGTTGTCATTGATTCTCCCATTCACATAACAATTTGGGTGTCTTGAAATAGGCTACAGTATATTCCCAAATGGCCATGTTTGTGGAATACATGATGACAAACCTGTGACAAATGTGGATGTGCTATTTTCAAACAGACCCATATTGATTCTCTCATTTACAAACATGATAATGCAACATGTTGTTCCATTTGTATATGAGGAATTTCCATGGGATTTTCCATATTTTTTCCCTTCTGAACATATCTGTTTTTTCGGGCATTTCCCAGCCAGCCATCTGGTCCAGATCCATGAAGGACATGTTCTCCACCAATCCGAAGGAATCACTCAACAGCGTGGCCAGAGGAGTGGTCTGCTCCGCCAGCTGCGAGACGGTGTAGACCTGAACTGATGACATCCATGGTAGATGTCAATAGTGATTGATAGTGATGTGTGAATAGTGATGAATAGTGGTTCATAGTGATTAACAATGCTTCATAGATATTAATATTGGAAAAAATCGTGGTCAATAATGGCTGATCATCAAATGGCATCTGGGTAAATTCTCATATTCCACTCACCTTTTCAAAGTCGTGGGGATCCCCTGGGATGATGGGAGTTTTGCCGTGGGATAGCGCATGGGAATTTCTGGAACTCGTGGTGAAAAGATGAGTTGGTCAAAGAACCAACAAATATGGCAGTGTGTCAAAACCAATAGTACCCCTGTAGTTCACATCAAAATAGCTGGGATTTATGGATGTTCATCCCACTAAAAATGGTATTTTCATAGGTATTGATCCATAGCCATATCAACTAATGAAAAACGAATCTTAATTATGTACTATCCGATAGGGTCTGTCCAAAATCGATTCATTTACCCACATGTTCTGGTCTTCTAATACTATTTAAGAGGGACATCATGATAACCATTGATAAACCATTCAATGGCGTAAGGTACCGACAAGTTCATACTATTGCTACCGCTGCCAGAATTTTCGGTCCCAATGAACCTACAACATCGGACGTGTTTCTGAGTATTCAACATGATTGAAGCATCCATTTTCTGTGTGTTTTTTTCATTGACCCATCCACATCTTGACTCAAAATCATCCAAAATCCATCAAAAATCCAATGCGTTGAAGTTAAAGTTTTCATGTTTCCTCTGTGAAGCCGGCTTCACACCTCCTGGGGAGAGATCTGCTACGCTCAAATCCCCATGTTCTGAACAACCGCGTTTTGTTCGACGTGTGATTCCGCAGCACGGTCCCCTTGTTTGTGAAACCGTCCGAATCAGAAAGTTACCTCTTAAACTAGCCATAAATTGAGGTGAAATCCCCCAGTTTCAGAACCGAGGAACCAAAAAGTGAGTGAAGCTGCTCAAGCTGGTGTCCTCGGCAAATGGCACAGTTGTGATTGGTGTGTAGGAAAAACAACTGGACACCATGCCTCCTTTTACTCTCCTATAGGGGGTTCCCACAAATGTTCCCTTCAACTACTGTGAAGGAACGAACGTGGTTCATGGGAGGCCGAAGATGTCGCTCTGCGTCGTCCGAAAAAACTGGAACATGTTGCTCACATTTGATCTCAATCAATTGAGTGTTGGAGTTATACCAAAAAACTAATCCAATATTGCATGTGTATGCGCATATATATATGATATATATATATATGATATATATATATATCATATATATATATGATATATATATATATATCATATATGGCGTTTCAAAAATACCCAAAGTTAAATATGACCAAACAAAAGGTATCGAACTCGTCACTGATTTGGGCAATCCGCACCAGCTCAATAATCGTCCTGGCTGATCTCAGCTCTCCAGGAAAGAATTTCTGTGATGCCCTTAACTTCTCGGTGCTCGTTGGTTATTAAGCCCTTGATACACTCATATAAACTCCTGGATGGTGGTTTTAACCATCTTGAAAAATATTAGTCAATGGGAAGGATTATCCCATATATTATGGACAATGAAAAATGTTCCAAACCACCAACCAGACTCTCATGATTGGCGGTGGTCACCTTTGGGTGGTGACTAATGACGATTTTAATGGACATGACATATGCTTCCCTCTATAGACACAGTCTACTAACCTAACCAACCAAGGTTTAAGCCAAATGCTTTATGATTATGTAGCTGACTGGGCTTCGCAATTTCGAACATGTACCAGCATCGCCGTATCGACCATGTGTTCAATTTCCTCCAAATCCAGCGGTTTGACCCGCCAAGCATCTGCTGGCAGCATTGCATGATTTCTTCCCACCGGAATCGAGCCGCCTGGTCGAAAAAAGGTTGGTGGAAAAGACTTGTTTGGGGGCAAAACGTGTGAGAACATGGCATAGGCTATCAAACACATTTTTTATTAATCATTATCATCAAGAATCATCGTCAATAATTATTATGATAATTATCAGTAATTATCATAATTGCTTGTCATTAATTATCAAAATAATTATCGTCAAAAATATGTGATTTTAACTGTGTTGGCAAAAGTTGGTATCCAACAATAGTAATAGTCTACAAGTAACCAAAGAAACACAGTCACAACACGCCATGTCATATCCAATGGCCAAAGTGCACCATATCCAATGGCTGGGCGACGCATCTGAATAGAATTTTCAACCGTTTTTCAAAACACAGAATTGAACCCAGATTCAAAATGATTGTGGGTGAACCCCCCATCCAGGTGTTAAAAGTGGTGATCCATTCATTTCAGTTCCACGGTTCCACGTGGCGCCTCGGATCCATTATGAATCCGGTTTTCAATCAATGGAACATATCTGATAATTTACCTGAAAAACATCGCATCATAGGTTTTGACCAATGCCATGTCTTTCAAACCAATCCCAATACTTACACAATAGCCAGCATACTAATTCGATTGGTTTGTCCAAGGACGTCCCATGATTTATCATCACCTTCCAATCAAAACTGTCATATATATATATGTCTAGAGTATATATGTATATACACATATATATATATACGTATATATTGTGGCGCATCATTATATGTGCCACGGTCAAAGATGGTACATGATATAGGTTATGGTCGTCCATTCCATATTGGGAATCCTGATACCGGGTTCGTTCAGAAATGGATTGATGACCATCCCCCAATCTGGGAGAATCCATCTCCAGCGGACGTGCAGATCCGAAGCATCTCTTGACCTAATAGCACATACCCTCTGGTTATGTCAAAATAGCTATTGAAAATGACCATAGAAATAGTGGATTTTCCCATTGAAAATTGTGATTTTCCATAGTTATGTTAGTTTACCAGAGGGTATTGATTATTGATGAACTCTTCTACTGATTATATTCCCATTACATATTCATATTTCACATCACTCTATTATATGACAATGTGAATCAGTAGAATATGATATTCCCACTTTATATTTCCCACCACGTTAACTTTGGAAGATGTTACACGACCCTCTTATATCTGGGAAAGTTCTAATGTTTCACTAATCTGAGATCAGGCCATTTGGGGATGTTCCCCCCATTCACCATGATTACAATAACCCCAAAATGCAGGGAAATAAATCACCCCAGTTGATTACACAGTAATCTTCCATACACAGTAATCTTCCATATATTCACAATAATTTCATAGGATATAACCATGATGCCAAATCCCATCCAAGTTTTAACCCAGCCAGTTACACCACAAAATTTATCTGGGAAAACATTCATGTCCCCAATCCCTCTGAAAAATATTAGTCAGTTGGGAGTATTATTCCCAATATATGGAAAAATAAAACATGTTCCAAACCACCATCCAGATAATGTCCTCATTCGTATCCCATGAAATCCTCTCTGGATCTTCCACACATCCCGCCTGCTGCCAGTGTTCTGCTGCCACCAACGGCATCACTGGCCAAATAGACGTTGTAGGACCTTGGGGCGAATCATGGATACTGATGACCAAAATACCGATGTGATGTCAAGCTCCAACAAAAATTGAGATTTCACCAGCAAAAATTGGGATTTCACCGATTTCACCAGCAAAAATTTGGATTTCACCGATTTCACCAGTAAAAATTGGGATTTCACCGATTTCAACAGCAAACATTGGGATTTTGATTGCCAGGGAATCAGGGATTTCACCAGCAAAAATTTGGGATTTGACCCATGATTTAAGATGATTTAAGCAAGAAGAACAGGGATCAAAACAACAAAAATGGAGGTAGAACTGGATATCATGGGGGTATAAATCATGGGACTGAGAAACCCTGGTTGATTTGTCAAGTTTTGTTTATCCTGATTTATCCTCAAAAAACAACACTATGTGCGATTTGAATGGCACCCTCTCCATTAAACAGCCTATGGGTTATGAATCCGGGGTAGACATTCATGATTGATGTTCAGTTGAATACATTGAACTATGTTCATAAGCTCCGAATGGTGAAACGTTGAAGATTTGGGTACTTGTCTGTATTAGTTCGTGATTGACATGGGCAACTTCTCGGGCGCACCCAATCAGCATCTCCAGGACATTCCGCCAAGCGTCTCCACCAGGGGCGAGCTAGCTGGTGACCACGTGACATAGCCTGGCGATTGGGAACTCAACGCTTGAAATGGATTGGTTTCAGGGAAGATCGGCCCGGGAATCCAAGTGTTTCATCACAAAAAATGATAAAAACAATAGGGCTTTCATGAGGTTCCTCATTTTTTTCCTTCCAAATCTATCTCCAAACACCTGGAGGAAACCAATATCCCGGGGTGGTCAACATTGGATATAGATGGATATATCTCCAAAACTGGATGGTTAATACCAAAAGAAAACAATCTTTGTTCCTTTGTGAATACAATTTCGAACCACACCCACATTGCGAAAAGGCCATGTAAACAGTTTACCATCCTGGTCCTTTGCTTCATTAAAATTATGTAGTGTTTTGGGATATGTTTTGGCCGGCCCCTAGATTTCTGCAATGCACTTCAATGCACTTTTTGGGGCAGAGAAAATGCCTCAAATCACCAGCTTCTGACTGATCTGCAGGTGTCAGCCAAGCCGCGAAGACTATTTGGCAAGGTGACTCCATCAAGGCTTGGGTTTTCGCCAAGAGCCAAAGTTTGCAAATCGCTCGGAAGAGTCACGTGCTGATTTGGCTCTGATTGAAAAAGCAACCAAATATAAAGCTACGCAACGTGTTTGGGAAGACCACTCTTTCCAGGCACTGGTTGAACTCCCTTCCAAAGGTCAAACTTTGCAGGTTGCTTGGCAGTGTCACTTCTTCAAGGCTTTGGTTAAAGTGAGCACCAAAAGTCAAGTTGAGCAGTGTGCTTGGGAAGGTCACTCCTTCAAGGCTCTGGTTGAACTCCCTTCCAAAGGTCAAACTTTGCAGGCTGCTTGGTAGTGTCACTTCTTCAAGGCTTTGGTTAAAGTGAGCACCAAAAGTCAAGTTGAGCAGTGTGCTTGGGAAGGTCACTCATTCAAGGCTGAACTCCTTCAAGGTCTTTGCCAGTGTTCTTGGCTCAACAATCTGCTGAGAAAGGTCAAATTTTGGAACTTGAGAGTCAAATCGTAGGTTGCTTGGCCAGCAGCAGGCTTCCAGGGCTGGACAAACTGAGAATCTCCTTCTGGTCAAACTCTGGTTGAAACCAGAACCAATGGTCAAACTGCACAGGTTGTTTGGGAAGGTCACCCCTTTTATGTTTTTATCGTAGTGAGCAAGAGTTAAGCTTTGCAGGCTGTTTGGCAAGGTCAAACTTTCCAGGCTTCGGTTCCAGTCCACATTAACTGTAGTCAAGCTTGTCAGGCTTTGAGAACGGTGAGGCACATAGTCACATAGTGAAAACCGATGTCACCTTTTATCTGCGTCACCCCTTCCAATGCAGACTCCCCCTCAGAGACTGGGAATCCTTCAATATACCATGCCGCAGCATCTCCGCAATGCCTTGCTCTTGCACATGGAGATCCATCAGCTGGGAACCAGCTGATGGCTCCACACAGCCACCCGAAGGGCTGGACATTTTGGGCCACAAGGCTGCAACCCTGTCGCGTGTTCGCTTTGGTGGATTCATTTTGTCGAAACAGTTACAGAATAGACTGCTGTCATTAATCTATTTGTCAATCTATCTAGGTATCCGTCGATCTATGCATCAATCAATCAATAAACCAATCAATCAGTCAATCAGACAATCAACAAATCAATGAATCAATCTATCTATTTGTCTATCTATCTATATATCTGTCTATCTATCTGTCTATCTATCGATGAACGATCTATCGATATAAATATATATATATATATCGATCTATCGATCTATCGATCTATCTATCTATCTATCTGTCTGTCTGTCTATCTATCTATCTAGCTATCTAGCTCTCTATCTCTCTATCTATCTATCTATCTACCTATCTATGTATGTGTATATGCATATATCATGTCGGCACTGTTCAAGAAGAATTGTGAAATGAAACCCCAACAAAAGAACAGATACATCTTGTATAGTCTTGCAGCATAGACAACTATCAGCGGCAACTGTCGGGAACATTTGGAATCCAACATAAGAGTTATGTCGGCAAGTGATTTGGATATACAGTTCACAGATATTCATGGGTCAAGTCCTCCAAAGTCCTGAATTTGGTACTTGTGGATTGTTTAAATCATTGTATTTATTATTGAACATAGTTTCATATCCACTGGATGAACATATTATATTGATGTTATTTCTCCAATATTGAATCATAGTTCAATGGTATCAATGGGTATCAATGAACATTGAAACATCAAAATTCTAGCAAAATCTTAATGTATTAAACCATTCATATTGTTGTTTCAATATATATATATATAGCCTTATATAGCTATATATTTTATATCTATAACATGGGTATCATATATTAGTCAGTTAAGGTTATTATTCCCAATATATGGAAGAATAAAACATGTTTGAAACCACCAACCAGATAATGATGGTCCTGGTTGATGTCTCTGTCTCTCTCCACCTGGTTGTATAAGATGAACATTGATGAAACTGTTCTAACTCTATATATATATATAATATATATAACATTAATAACATGGGTATCATTAAAAATCCCCCAATATCTGAGAACTCGCCAGTTGCTTCTCAGCTCCAGGTCCACCAGGTCCACCAGGTTCACCAGGTCCACCAGGTCCATCCCGGCCTCCCAACTCCACCGGATCCAGATCCAAATCCACAAACGTCAAGGCAGAAACGCTGGCGACCGTCTCGATGATACCTGGGATGGGGATCGGGGATCCGCACGTCGCACAAGGATGATCAAATGGGGGGGTTCCATAAATGGAGGTACCCGCATAGCTGGATGGTGTATTTCATGGAAAATCCCGATCTAAAATGGATACAGTAATCATTGGATGATAAACCATGAGAAACCATGATCAATCATGAGAAATTTTGATGTGGGAAAATTATTGGAAGACCATGAACCTTCGAAAGTACCGGAAAACAACTACCAAAGTTTGTAACAACTACGAAAGTTTGTTTCTTTGGGGTACGGTGCACAGAGTCGACAGAGTGTTAGCGGTTCATGACTTTGATAAATTATACTGAAAGCCCAAAATAGACTGACAATACCCTCCTTCAGACTAACATAGACCCTGCAAAATGTGGGGTTGGCAAACTGCTTTCCTATTCGGAGATTCACAGAGTTTGTGTCAGTTGAGGGGAAGCATGTCCAAAAAAACGCAAAGCCACCAACCAGATTCATCAAATAGCTGAGATATGCCAGGTATTAGCTGTTGGTTTTCGCACGATGTTTCACATGTTTTCATTGCTTCATCAAAAAAAAAGTTCAACATCCCCATATGAGTCATGTTCTAAATGTCTTACATCCTGGCGCCAAATAAGGAAATGCTTATGCCAGTGCTTACGTTTTGCTTACACGCGCGCAGGTTTTGCTTACGCGCACATCTTCATCTTGTCTTACGCGGATCTTACGCTGGCTGACGCGCACCACAGTTTTGCTTACGCCACACCCTTACAAGGGGCCCCTTGCTTAACATGAACACAAGGGTTTAGAACGTAGCTCATATGGGTATGGGTCAATACCTATAGATACATTTTTAGTGGGATGAACATCCATTTACCAGCTATTTTGGGGTTCACCAGGGGTACAAGGTTTTGACCCCTCCCCATATGTTTTCATATGTTTCTGCACTTCAATTCATGACTTCTCCCGGTAGCACCCCATCCGCGTCCAGCTACGCACCGCGGCGGGGGTGGTCTGTTCCACCAGGCTGGACTCCGCGAAGATCACCAGGTGAGTGAAGCTTTCCAGCGCCGTATCGGCCGGGACGTCCTCGGTCGCGTGGAGGGAGCGATATTTTTGGGCTGGGGATACATTTGTTATATCTGGTTATGACTAACATAGCCATGGAAAGATCCACCATTTTTAAGGGGTAAACCCAGGTAAACCATCTATTTCTATGGGCCATTTTCCATGGCGAACTGTTAAATAACCAGAAGGTATATCTGGTAAGTAGAGGTCCTGGTTGATGTCTCTCTCCTGGTTGTATAAGATGAACATGGATGAAACTGTTCTAAAGTTGAAGAAAGAATTATATAAATGAGGTCGGGAAAACAACACGGTAGCACATAAGGATACACTAGGATACATTAGGAACATCCCAGTCCAAATCCTGATCATTTCCTCGCGTCAGGGGCTGAGATGCTTGGTGACTGCCTTTGGCCTTTTTTCTGACAGTTTGAGGTGAAAGTTCAGCAGACGGTTTCAGTGAACATTTTCCATCTCAACTGGATTGAGAGAGAGAGAGAGAGAGAGAAATTCAGAGAACATATCAATGTTGAATAGTTACTTGGTATGGGCATACTGATTCATACTGTATACCCATCATTCCTGGCCATAATTCATCAAATCATGAGCAGAACCAAATATGAGAGCAGGCCGTTCAACGCGACATGGATATTCCCTGCTGTGAGATCAAATAGCACCCGGAAAAGCTTACTTACCAACCTCAAATCGTTGCTTTGAACTGCCAGCTGCAGGGGTCTTGTCAAGTCTCCCTTTGGTCAATTTGGCACATCATTTACCTGTGGCTATCATTTACCTATCATTGGACCCCCGAATTATTCATCAACCAAGTTCAACCAACCACAGGAAAAACGGGTAGGATAGGATGACCAACAGCCAACCAGCTGATCAACGACACCAAGTGTCAAAGCGATTGCTGCCCACTGAGACGTTTCCCAAATAGGAGCGGTTCACGCCTCGGGCACCCCGTGAGGCGAAGCTGTTGCAGAAAATTTGTGGATTCATCACCCGTTCAGCACTAGATAGATTGCATAGATATTAACAGGAATGAACGGATTAATGATGGATATTGATGGATATTGATGGATCTTTCGTGATGTTTCCTCTGGAGGGAAATGTTTTTTGGACTGTAAAGAGTCCAGCATATCCCAGGAAAATCTGCATCTGAGAGCTCCCACCATCTCGACTCTCGGCCAAATACACCTGGCGCCGCCATCGTTGCAGGATGCAAAGGATCAGTTGTACGGCCGGAAATTTCAGGGTTTCATGATGAGATATATAACCTCCCCCGGAAGTGATGGTAGATGGCTGGGACACATCTGCATATATCCCGTTTGTATCCATTTGTAAGCGGGTAGAATCAGATGAATATGCGTTTGCCTTGTTAAGGGATGATGGCAGTACCCAAATTAGTTTCCCAGATTATGAAAGGAAGCGCAATTGACGCAGGTGTCACAAGCCAAGTGGGTTCATGAATCTGATGGGGTGTCTCCTGTCATGCACACCTATTGCTGGTTAATACATATTGAGTTGCTGGCATGGTGAAATTAAGTTAGTGGTATGTAACTGGAGTATATCATCCACTTGCATCTCAGTTGCAATGAGTCATAAGATTTGACCCATATACCCGTAACCCACCAATCAGTTTACCCAGATAAAACTGCCAGCTGTTAATATAGGTCAAAATCCCAGTCCCCAAAGAATTTTGATGATTGGAAGTGACAATGATGATAAGTACATATATATATATGTGTATATATATGTATATATATATATATATATATATTATACATATTTTATAATGACGATTTCTGCATTTGAAACCAAATTATCAATCTCATCACCACTTCTCAGAGTCACCTGTTATTACCAGAATTAAACCATATATCTTAAATCCCTATTTTCATCACCACTCAATCCCATTCCGAATCCCAACAAAAAACCATCATTTATCTCAAATGATCTCAATGATATTCAGTAGTAAATGGTGGTTATCCATTGTTTCTCAATATAACCACCATTGTTTCTCCATTTACTGAGATAACCGGCATGATTTCTCCATTTCTGTTGCTTATTTCAGTTCAATTCCCATGTTCTCGGCTGGTTGTTGCTGGTTAAGTCCCCCATGCCACCAGGGCACGTTGAAGACGGTGACCTCACTGTCATCCAGAGGATCGGCCCAGGTCAATGGGCCGCCCACTTCGAACTCGTCCAGGTCCTGCATCATCTAGAAATATTGCAATATATTGCACTATTGTATTGCCAGCAAGAAATAATTACCATCTGGTTATTTAACATGGCTCTGGAAAATTGCCCACATATGGAAGGTTTATGGTGACTTACCTATGAAAAATTGTGATTTTCTATGCAATATTATAGTGGATTATAGTTTGCAATATATCATAGTATATCACAGTGAATTAATTATAGTATATCATAGTGCACCATATCAATGTGCATTTTATTTTGCAATAGATCATATCATAGCAAATTATAGTAAATAAGAACAATAATCATCATCATCGTCGTCATCTTGTCCAGGTACTGCAAATATACTGTGATATATAATATATTATTGAATCTATTGTATGTTGTAAAATATCAAATGTGATTATATTGTTTTGTAATAAATTCAAGTAAAGAAAAAACATACTATATATAATTATAGTACAATTTGTTCTTACACATATATGAATTGATGGAGAACAACAACCTCAAAATAGATGCTCAAAACTGGAAAACTTGGAAATATGAAGCATATATAATCGAACAAACGTCCTGGAAACACTGTTCGACATCTTCTTGGGGGTTACCATCATCCAGAAACATCCACAGAATAGACAAATGATCATTCTGAAAAATCAAAAGAAACGACCAGTTGGATGAACTCATGTATAATGTTCGGAAAGTGTTCATCCAAAATCATGCAAATTCAATATAAACATGAACTATTTTAGAATTATCCATCATCAGGGACTATCCAACTTGCTCAATATGTGAATAATCTATTGATACATATTGGGCAAGAATCAAGTAATCATATCACCCATTGATGTTCAATTGACTAATGATGATGAGGCTATGGTCAATTTTTGGGTGACGTTTGTTTAGGGATGTTTGGTTGAATGAATAAACATCAACGGGTTGCTCCCAACACCCCAAATACAAGGGGGGGAACTGGGAGATAATGAAGTACAATGACCAGTCTCCCTTCCTTATTCACCTATGATGGGTTGGAGCACCCGTGCTCAACCTAGGTGATATTTGAGAGCAAAAACTCATCCATTTTTGGGAGGACAATCATGACACGAATCACGCCAAAGCCGTGGTCTATGCCCCAAAACCTGGTCGGGATATGGTTGGGATACCCTCTGGTAAACGTTTACATAACTTCACAGAAAGCAGGAGCGAACCCTCTGTATCTGACCCCCCTCATCTTGAAGGGCCACTTTGAACAGCACCCAAAATCGAGCTGAGCCTCCCCTGTGCGTTGCTTAGTTGTTGATGTGAGGGCCCAAAACCCTGTAAAATAGCAGGTATCATTGATGTGACCCCCTCCCATCTTGACTGCTCTTAGCTGCTCTAAGCCCTCAAGAGCATCACCAAAAGAGCACTTGAGAGCTGATATGAGCCAGTTATGAGTTGAGTCCGTGCCTCTCGTGTGTTAAGAGCACTCCAGAGGGATTGAGAGCCATTATGAAGGGTGTAAGAGTCACTATAAGGGATGATGAGGGCTTTTAGAGGCACTATAAAGGATTTTGAGGCCAGAGCAGTTATTTGACTTACTTGCTCCCACCGCCAGATAAGGAGGGTCACACCCAAGGGGGTAGCAACTGCTTTCTATGATAACTATGGAAAATCACCATGTTTGCTGGGTAAATCAACTATTTCGACTGGGCCATGGCTTCAATAGCAAACTGTCACAAATTACCAGAGGGTATATCCCATTAATTATCATGAATCACAAATCACAATTAACCATCATTAACCACTATTAAGTTCCATCAATTCCCCAATGTTAAATTACCAGAGGGTATGGTTGGCGCCCCCAGCCCCACTGATTTTCCGACCGGGGCCATGGGGCCTGATCCACAAAGCTCACGTTGGCAGCTCGCGACGCCTCGTCTTGGATAGCACCTCAGCAATGGCAAGATTAGGAGTATACCAAAGGCAAATGGAATCATACCATAAGAAACCATTAACTATAGTTTTCCAATTGGAAATACTAGGTTAAACATAAGCAAAGCAAAACATATAGGATAATTCCGCTAAAAACGATTGACCTCATAGTGATCAAAAAACAATGGTGATGATGTTTGATCCCACCTTTTGACGCGTTTGACTCGAGGTGAATTATGATATATGATGATGATGATGATGATGATGATGATGATGATGATGATGGATGATGGATGATGGATGATGGATGATGGATGATGGATGATGGATGATGGATGATGGATGACGGATGACGGATGATGGATGATGATGATGATTATGATGATGATGATGGTGATGATGATGATGATGATGATGATGGTGATGATGATGATGATGATGATGATGATGATGATATGGAGGTCTATCTGCAACCAGATATGGGAGGATAAGGTATTCTAATGTTGTTGATAATGATTATGATGATGTTGTTTTATTCATGTCCACTTGTTGGATCTTTTTGGATAGGGCAAATGCGGTGAGAGTTCGTCAGTGTTGGTATCTGGAATCTTTGATCATGACTCTCACTGGGAGACTGTTGAGGCTGGCGAAACGAGGAATCACTGGGGAATCAGAACACTCTGAGGGAACTCAAAGTACAGCAATATCACATGAGATGAACACATCCTTGGACCAGGTGACTATGTAATATCATCATAACGTCATTGAATTCCTATCATGTTCTGTCATTATCAAAACCCTAACAGCAAAAACAAATCACCTCTAAATCCATTGATAATCCTTGAATCTCCACTCATATGCCCATTTTATCCCCATTAAATCTCCATTTTATCCCCAGTCATCATTCTTCACCGTTCCCCCTAAAAATCCCAAGCCCAAGTCACGCGAGGAAGGCGTAGTTTGTTCCGCCAACGTGGAGGCCGTGTAGACCAGGAAATGCGTGAAGTTCCACCGTGGCGTCTCGGGTGGAACGTCAATGTCATTGTCGCCTGGGGGACGATCATCAACCCGGTTGAAAAACGGTTGGGAAATGGTTGGGAACCTGGGTGTACATATTACATCATTACATTGCATATATATCCTTTGATCTTATAATATCATGTATTCCAGGTGCACGGCATGATAGAAGCAAGGACCCATTAACATGTGATCCATGGGATTCCTCCCGCCTGCAGGCAGAGTGGGTTGAATCTGCGATCTCAGTCCCTCTCGGCCCAAAGCATCCTCTGCCAAATAGACGTAGTAACCTCAGCCAACAGCGGATTCTGGACGTACTTTTCGCAGCATGGAATCCGATGGAATCCACCATTTGCCTAGTTAGAAAAGTTGTCTGCTAATAAGCTGTTGTCTTAACAGAAGCAGAATGAAGGAGAGCAAAACATCAGGTCATTCAGTGACGTTTCTTGCAGCACACGTTGATTCTACCTTTGTCCTGCTTGTTATCATATATCAAATAGTCTTAAATAGTCACAGAGAAACAAACCTTCTGAGATGAAATGGAAAGGCACGGACAAACCGAACTTAAATCATTGTCTTTGGTTGCACACACTATGGAACAATGACTTGCTGTATGCGAACATCGCTTAATTAAACAACAAAGAAAAGGCGGGACACTGTTCAAAGTCCTAAAACCCCAGTGTCCTTAGGAAATATAAATCTAACAAAGACATAGGTTGTATCATAACCCAAGATAAGTATATAACAGTATAGCTAAATGCAAAGGGTTGCAAATAGACGCATCTAGTTCCACCCCAAAGTGTGCCTGCGGCTCAAGAATCATTGGCCACCAGTCTCTACTATATATATATATATATGTTCAAAACGAAGGAGACACAGCGACAAATCAGGTCATTTTGGTGAGGTCGACTGGGAGACTGCTATAATTTACCCAGGGCTAGGCTAAATCCCAAAATATTCAGAGCCTCAGTTTATAAATGGCATGAATATGGATGAAACAACTTTCTGGATTCACTCAGGAGGCTGGAAATCCATAGAAATCCATATGTTTTTTGCACGTGAACAATCCACGTCATGGTAGGACCAACCCGACAAAACTGCCACGACCACCAAGTCGCTCATCACGCGCAGCATGCTCTCAGCAGCTTCCCAACTCAGCACACCACCGAGGTCGTGCATGTCCAGGTCCTGACTTTTCCGGGATATGAGAGTTATGTATATGGGTATATTAGTTATTAAATAGAATCTCAATAATGTTTAGAGGATATCATTTTTGAATAGTTATGTAACATTATTTAGATTCTTTTGAATTTTAGGGATTGACTTTGCATTTTTCTATATTTTTGTTGCGGGATAGCTTCCAATGCGAGCTGGGTAGTATATAGCCATATAATGCCCTAGCTCATGATGTGTGGCCTTAAACTCTTAAACAAAATATGCTCCCTTACTAAGGTTTCACCAAAAGGTTTCGGTGGTTTTAAATCGATGAAACCACAGATTCAACCAACACACAAGTATATAAATGTATATGCAGGTATATATATAGTGACCCCCAGGAAGATAGAAAAGGCACATCTTCCTAAACAGTGATGATTTACATGCCTATCTTTTTTTGGGGGCTACTATATGCGCAAGTATGGATAATATGGGGACACACATATGGGCCATATGGAGTTGATATAACCCACGAAACTTGCTGATTATTGTTTCGAACCTGAAACCAACATGGTTTGGAGGCGTACAGGCATCATGATGAGCACTAAAGCAAGGATCTTCTTCCTACAAGGATTGAAAGCAGCACAACACACATCTGTGAAATACATCTCAACATTTATGATTGCCCCCTGATAAGCCGACATAGCAATGAACATTCAATTCTTTTGGAGTAGAACTAGTAGAACATTCAATCTACAAATTGACGCTGTTCCATTACATACTATAAACGCTTCGTTGGAAGTCAGCCCTCAGTGGATTCACCTGCAATTTCAACCATACCCTTCAGTGCAACTGTTTCAAACTAAGGATTTGGCAGGTGAGAGGTGAATCATGTTAAACATAGATATTGTTGTTCAACCATACTTCATACTAAAC